TTTCCAGCTGGGGCTTTATATTTTAAGAGGCTTTCTGGGGGGGGGGGGTCATGTTTATATTTTAAACCAGCAGCAGGAACAGGTAGTTGCTCTGTGCTAAAATTGTGCATAGTATCTCCCAGACTGCTGTTCTGAGAATGTAGTGCAGAGGTGGTGTATATATTTAGGAAAGGCAAGAATGATGTTTCTTTCTCTATGTGACATCCTGGATTCTTTTCTAAATGATGTTATGAAGAGAAGAGTTACAATTACTAATTATAATGAACTGTTAGAACCCTTTTGAGTTAAAAGTGCACAATATTAACTACAATTAGGCATGCATGGACCCACAAACATAAATGAATGAACAAACTGAAAGAGAAGAGGTGGGAGTTGAGAATAATTATGCTGTAACTGAATATTTAAAATCTGGGGGAGGGGCTTGTGGCTCAGTGGTAAAGCGCTTGTCTGGCACGTGAGGGGCTCTGGGTTCGATCCTCAGCACCACATATAAATCAATAAACTAAAGGTATTGTGTCCAACTACAACTAAAAATAATAAATATTAAATAAACAAATAAATAAATAAATAAATAAAATCTGAAGATTAGTTCTTTGAATGCTCAGCTACCTTGGCCTCAAAGTTCTTCCCTTTGCTCATGGCTAAATCCCTTGAATAAAACATACCATCTGCCAAATGCTTTATACTGTCACAGTGACAACCATCAAATTTTAGCAGATCTACTCCCCACTCAGCAAAGGTCTGAGCATCAATGTCATAGTGTCCAAAACTCCCAGGGTAGCCTGCACAAGTTTTATTTCCAACATCCGCATAAATCCCTAGCTTCAGTCCTTTGCTGTGGACCTGAAATGAGAAGAAAGAGTCACCACAATAGTAGGGCAATCAAGAAGTAGTAGAAAAAAAAATTACCACTTTAGACTGAGGGAACAGACAAGTGTGCTTCACCAGATATTGGAGAGTTTTTTCCCCCACTACTGCCCCCCCAATTTTCCAGATGAATCTGTTGCAAGGCAAAGAACAAATCCCCCAATTCTTCTGAGACAAGTTCAAATCATACATGTGATTTACAGAACAGAACTGAGGAGAAAGCTGTCAGCCACTATAATATTCCTGTTGGAATCCTAAAATGTACCTTTCCAAGGACAAGCCTCAACTGTGTTCTAATGTCCCAGTTTTAGCAAGAATCCTGCAAAGTCATCCCCTCACCCTTGACATCTTTTAGTAGTTTTCCATCTACTGACCCTCTCAATCCTCAATTTGCTTATTGGTATGAATCTTCACTTATCTTTGTTGCTTTTGGATTTTAACTTGGCTCTTTCCCCTTCTGCAATATTACTAAATAAAATCTGTCATCTTTAGCTAGTGTTGGGCTGTATTTCTCTTTAATAATGTCCAGAAAATTTGTGTCTTCTAAAATTCTGGTTTGTAATACAATTATAATAGCAGCCTAAAGCTTATATGGAAATATATGCATACATATGACAAGAACCAAGTTCCTTTTTCCTCCTAGAGATTTCAGTGGTTTCAGTAAAAGAAGAACTTCTCCAAGATGGGCCTCATGAGCTATATTGCAAAATATGTATCTGCTGATGGGATGAAAATTCCACCTGATAAGTCTTACAATTCAGATAACAGCAGCCATTCAACTTCCAAAGTGGCATGAGGACTGTTTCTCAACAAGCTTCTATGACTAAGTGCTTACAGACCCCAAATGAAAAAAAAAAAACACTTATAAACTCACATAATTAGCTAGTCTGCGGATCCCTCCAGGAAAGCGCTGAGGGTCTGCCTGAAGTTGGCCTAATGAATTTCTTTGGGGAGCCATCCAACAGTCATCAATGCAGACATACTCATAACCTGCATCCTTCCAGCCATCTGAGACCATGAGCTCTGCCATCTGCATAAAGAGCTGCTCACTGAAAGAGGAATTCCAAAAATCATTACAATTCATTAGATGAAATTTGGGAACTCACTAAATTTTTTAAGTCTAGTAAGTGTGGATGTAATTACAACTAATACAAGGTAAAATGAACCGTCCTTTCAAAAGCTCTTCCTCCCTAAAAACTCAAAACAAGGAGCTAGGGTAGTAGCACAGTAGAGCCTGTACCTAGCATGGGCAAGGCTCTGGGTTCCATATCCAACATCACAGAAAAACAAAAATAAATCAACAACAAAAAACCTCGAAAAAGTTAAAATGGGAATGCGGGAGCTGCTGCTGCTGCCACCACAGAAACTTGGGTCCTAGAAGGCAGCAACTAGACCCAATGGCCTTTTTGTCCAGGTATTTTGTGGCTGGAGAGCAGCTAATAGACAACATTCTGCAAGTTGGGCTTGTAAAGATATTTGAAAAAGGAAAAAGAAGGACTTATGACTTAAAACCACACAGCCCTCCTTTGTCTGACAGACCATGAGAGTTCTCTAAAATATTGAGTTTGAAAGCATCCCCTGCTCCTTCACTTCCAAATTTTTTTCTCCATCCAGTTATCTTTTCCAGCCATAGTGATGGGAATGCTTGAAGTAGACTGAAATGAACAATGCTATAGCGAAAATACTCTCTCCCTATATTTTTCTCCTGATTACAATTGCATATTTTCTAACCTCTTCCCATGTTAGTCTAGTTGAAATTGTGGTAGTGAACACTGTGCCAAATGAATGGGGATAGATTTTGGAAGCTTCTGTTTTTTTTTTTTTTTATGTAGTCTTTTGCCCTTTAGTCAGTACCTTTTATCATTCTTCTCTATGGAGTCCAGTGGGGGTCTGGATATTGGCCCCAAGGGAGAATTAAGATTTGCTTTAATCCTGGCTGGTTGGCTTGAATTCTAATGCAATCTGCAAGTGTGATTTTCTGCAGGCCCCATGTTGCCTTTTCTATGCTCAGCACCCTTCCCTTCTGTTCAGAGGTGGTTAGCTTTTGATGCTATCCATCCTTTTTTCCATTCCTCCCTTTTAAACATCCAATTAGCATTCTTTAAAGTTATACCTTTTTGTTTGTTTGTTTCCTGCAGGTTTGAAAGGGATTGAAGCACATCTATGGTTTCTCAGTATATAACAAACTAGAACGCACACTTTTATGGCTTGGCTGGCAATGTTGAATTTTTTTTTCCTTTCCTCTGGGCTTGACTCTCCTTGCAAGTAATGAGGAATAACTGGGAGCACATAGGGAGGGTTTCTTGGCTGATTACATTTAAGCCAGGAATTCACTGTGAAAATAAAGCCAAGGGTGGTAAATAAAAGATGCAATCTTCTCTAGGAGACACACAGCATGCACTTTGCCTGCTTTCCTCAATGGAAGAGGCCTGGGTGAGTAGTTGTAAAAGAAAATAGTAACTTTATGAATAGTTCCCAAAGGGAAAGGAGGCCACTAAATGAAATTGGCAATGATTGATGTGAAGTGGTATAATGCTTCTAGTATAGTCTGAATAGTTGACCACAACTTTGGAAATACTTACTTACATGCTATACAAGTACTGTACAAATTGTGGAAAATATTATTTCCCCCCAGTTCTGCCAATTTCCTTAACTTTCAAGTTGTATTTCTTGTGCCCATCAGCTTAAAGATGGAAGTGCATGCCTATAATCCCAGCAGCTTGAGTCTGAGGCAGGAGGATGGCAAATTCAAAGCCAGCTTCAGCAAAAGTGATGTACTAAGCAACTCAGTGAGACCCTGTCTCTAAATAAAATACAAAATAGGGCTGGGGATGTGGCTCATGGGTTGAGTGCCCCTGAGTTCAATCCCTGGTACCCTCTCTCCCCAATAAAGGAAATTTAAGAGAAAGTTCAGAAGGAGATCCAGTCATCTGATACAATGGAACTTTTATTTTCCCCTTAAAGTATGGTGAAATGCACTACCCACTTATTGTAAAACCCCAAGTTCAGTCAGGTGGGATGGCACATGCCTGTAATCCCAACAACTCAGGAGGCTGACAGGAGGATCACAAGTTTGAGGCCTGCCTCAGCAACTTAACAAGGTCCTAAGCAATATAGTGAGAAGCTGTCTCAAAATTTAAAAAAAAGGGTGTGGATATAGCTCAGTGGTTAAATGCCCCCAGGTTAAATCCCTAGTACCAAAAAAAAAGAAAAGAAAACAAAAAATAAACAACCCCCCCCAAAACACAAGCTCACCTTCTCCTTTGTGTAATGTTGGTTCTATCTGAGTCTGTGCTCCTGATTTATAAATCTATTCTACACCCAAATAAAACTGTCTTTGCTTTTATCTTAACCATGTTTAAGATTTCTTGGTTTCCAGACCCCAAAGCCAGAAATCATAAAGAAATGATGTGCCTGATTATATAAATATAAAAACCAACACCTAACAGGAATACCTGAATTCCCAACATATGCTTGATCAGAACAACAAAAACCCCACTGAATAAGGGACTGACACAAAGGATCAATCCATGAAAGAAATAGCTATGCAAAGAGTCAATTTAACATATAAAAAATATTTGGCTTTTGTTAATAATCAAAGAAATATAAATAATAGAGGCTGAGGGGTATAGCTTTGTGGTAGAACATCTGCCTAGCCAAGCATGTGTGAAGCCCCTGGATTCAATACCCAGCATCTTTAACAAAAAAAAAAAAAAAAAGAGAGAGAGAGAGAGAGAGAGAGAAGTGCAAATAAAAACACCTACCAGATTGGAAAGTTTCAAAAGAATAAAAAAAAAAATAGTGTTGGCCAGGGTGGAGGGAAACAGGCATTCTTACACACTGTTGTTGGGGATGTGCATTTTTATAAAATATTTGGGAAGGACAGTGTGACAATTATCAGAATTAGCATAACTTTGTGTTGCAGAGACCAGTGAAGCTGAGGGGACTACTGGAATCTACAGCACTAATTTCTTCCTTTTTTTGGTATTTTATTTAGAGACAGGATCTCACTGAGTTGCTTAGTGCCTTGCTTTTGCTGAGGCTGGCTTTGAACTTGTGATCCTCCTGCCTTAGCCTCCCAAGCCACCGGGATTACAGGTGTGTGCCACTGTGTCTGGCTCTGCAGTAATCATTTCTTACACCCCTGCAAGAAGAATTTCCAGCCAGTTGCTCAGAGGAATAAGTAGGAGTTTAATTATTGGAGAGTGGGTGAGATAAGGATGCACAGTTCATGGTCATCTCTTAAAGAGTCTTAAGTTTTTTTTTTTTTAATATTTGGATTTCTTTGTTATTATCCCAGTTTTTGCACACCTCTAGAATGCTAGAATGGTTTTTACTCTTTGAATAGCCTTCAGCAAACTCCTTGCATAACCCCCTAAGAGACTTATTACCCTTCCTATAGGCCTTGTAGTTCCCACAAGGGGAGGGTCATGAAGACCCAAGGTTTTGAAACAATAGTTCCCTTAAGGGGTTATAATGAACTACTACTGGGGAAGGTTTGACATACCAGTCCCCATTTCCCCCATACTTGTCTTTATAGATAAGGTTTCCTGTTATCCCCAGTTCTGTGACTCAAGGACTCTTTTTTTGATGTTATCTGTCTGACATTCTCCCTGGAAGTTACTGCTCTTTATTGCCAATCCTTTCCATATTCCCCTGTTCATGGTTAAACAATCTACTAACATTTGGACCCAATAATTAGTGTTCTAAAGAAAAAAATTAGGTAAGAATCAGATGATGTGCAACATTTGAAGAACTGAGTTGCTATGAACAGGAACTTTTTTATTTTAAAGAAGGACTTAAGGGGCTGGGGATGTGGCTCAAGCGGTAGTGCGCTCGCCTGGCATGCATGCTGCCCGGGTTCAATCCTCAGCACCACATACAAACAAAGATATTATGTCCGCCGAAAACTAAAAAATAAATATTAAAATTCTCTCTCTCTCTTTCTCTCTCTTTAAAAAAAAAAGAAGGACTTAAAGGGCCAGTTACTTGTGATGTCTTACCAATATCCTGACTTTATTTGTAAATACGTTTACAGGAATAACTTATGGATGTAGAAATTACTGCCTTTAGAGGAGCATCTGCATTATGGGTAACAATATCAGTGATTTTCAACTAACCTTTTCTAGACCACAAATCCCTTTGAGAATATTAAGAAATGTAAAGACTCCCTTTCCAGAAAAATACACATACTCATATTTGCAGACTTAATATCCATTTTCTATGGATGCCATTTGCTCAATTGAGGGGTCAGGCAGTGTGTTATATACTTTAAATGGGTTTATTTCACTGAAAGCTCACTTATGTGAGACAGGAACTTAACTGATAGCTCTGAGTCAACTCCTTGAGGTAAGAAATGTTATTCCAATTTACAAGGACAAGGACGATGAAGGTCAGATGGGTTAAATACTTGTCTAACCCAGCCTCAATTCTCACCTTTGATGTACAAAGTTCCACCAGGTCAACTTTCCAGTCTGATGTCACACTCAAGTGCGATGGCTGATGTAGATTTCAGAGACCCCATGGTCTTTTTAACTCTCCAGTTACAGCCAAGGAACCCGTGCCCCCCAAAGGAGAAGAAATGGCAAGAATCTTAGTTTCCCAGTCTTCCAACCCACTCCAGTTGTGCTTAGAGCTAGCTGAAGGCTAGCGCCAGGCAGAGAAGAACATCACCAGAAGGGTCTGAATATAACCATACGGTAAATGAAGAAAGTCCCCAGCTGGGTTACCTGACAGGGAGAAAATGAGAGGGAGTGAAGCAGGTGCTGCTGGTTTGGGCTTCTAAACAAGGAAGGGTCACAGAGAAAGTTTAGGGCAGTTTGCTCGGGATTTAAAAAAAAAAAGCAAGCAATAGTAGGGGGGCTCTCCCTCTGGTTCAAATGTTCACATTGAGTCCCTCCATTTTCCCCAAACACATCCAGACAAACGTACAGAAAAGTGAAGGGAAGGGGGCACCCAATAATGTTGATACCTGATGCATGAATCCGGCTCTTCCTGGCAGTCAACATTGCACATGAAACGCTCCCAATGCAGCCAGCCCATAGTAGGTGTTCTCGCCAAGCCATTGTCCAGTGCCATGGCCCCAAAGTCGCCCCAGAGTACTAGGGTCCGGAAGTGAAGCGCAAGCACATAGCCCAGCCACGGATCCCAGCTCTTCAGCTTCATTGTCACCGTGATTATGCGATACAGATTTCTGGGGTAACCTGGGCTTTTAAGTTTAACCTGAGGGGCGGACCAATCACGGATGGGTTGTTAAATAATGACGTTATTGTTTCTCAGGCAACTAGACGGTTATTTCCAGTGGCCGACCAATAATCAATCACGTAAGACGCACAGCTAACCAATCACACTCTTTATTTCTTGATATTGGCCCGCCCTATTTCTATACCAGAAGGAAGTGCGGCACCTTAGTGATCCCGAGTTTAGCCCGAGAGTTGCTCACGTGACCGAGATCTCACATGACGTAGGCGTTCACGTGACCAAACGCTTACGTGAGCAGAAGTAGTTCTGGTCGTCGTCTACCGTCTCGCTATAGCCGTTTGAGGGAAGAAGGAAGGAAAATTACCCGGTATCGTTAGAGGTTGGTGTGTGGGTGGGAACTGGGGATTCGGGGATGGTGATGTTGAAGACCAAAGCGAGGTCCGGGAGCCGACTCCGCCTTTTTCGATCTCTGTTTTCCCCTCCCCCCGCTCCCCCTTCCCCCACCCCCTCATCTCAGTGCCGGGAAGCCGCCTTCTCTGCGCCTGGTGGGGAAATGGTGGACGTTTGTGACTGTGTGTATGTTTTTGTACATCTGTTTGTCTGGGCCAGTCTCAGGGAACCCCCAAGAGGAACCGTAAAGCGAAAAAGGTTTGAAAACTATGGTCCTGAATTAGGACAAACAGATATTGAGACCAGTGGCCTGAGTGCTGGTCCATCCATTTAGGCACTCAGTCTACTGTTTAATTGTGTGTCGGTAGAGGCCTCAAGTGAATTAAGTCAGTAGAGTCACATCTAGGCAAATGCTGCGTGCCTAACTGAGACGCCCAATAAATTTACTTGAGTATTTGAATAACGTTAATCTTTCTGCTTGTAACAGTAATTACATGTTGAATTTTTATCATTTGAAAAATAACATAAACGTAATTCGTGACTACTCAACCTTATATCATTAAGTTTTTTTTTAAAGTATGTATATAACACACATAAATACACAAAAATATTAACTCGCAAATGGAGTCCTAGTTCCACTTCAGGCAAGTGTTCCGGTGGCCTTCCCAGGAGTTGTGAGCAAGCGGGACCTCCAGCCACTACGCTGTTAAGCTGTAGTGTGCTTTAGGAGGATTCGTTATCCCACAGATGATCTGTCACTGAGACCTAAGGATGGTTTGTAGGAAGATTGTTTTTACTAGAGTTGCAGAAACATAATGGGCAATTAGTAAATGTTTTAATTGAATCCTCAGTGTGGTTTTATGGCAGTTATTACACTTTGAACTTTCTTTCCAAGAGGCCGAATGTTCCCAGACCACGTCAGATAAGTTATCCACATCCAAAGTTAAGAAAATTTTATATAATTTGCCATCCCAAATCCCAGAAAATCAAATATTTTGATTTGTTTTGTTACTTTTTTTCTGAAGTAAAAGTAATCTCTCTGTGGAAAATTGCACACAAAAAATTTAAAAAATGAAAAAAACAAACAAACCATAAACCTACCCCTCAGAGTAGTCACTATAAACATTTGACATATCCCCCATACATATTTTTAACTTTGTTATTTTTAATTCCAGTACACTGTTTAAATAATTAAAACTGTATTGAACTATATAGTATAAAAAGTGAAAGTCCCACTTCATTTCTCCTACTTTTCAGTTGTTATTTCCCTCCAAAAAAAAAGTTTGTATTACATACTCATAGGTCATTTTACACATTTACATACATGCTTATATTTTAATAAAAGTAGCATCATACTATGCATATTCTTTAATGCATTTTGGATATCTTTCTAGGTCAGGGAAAATAGATTTTTTTATTTAAATGGCTGCAGAGCATTCCATTTTGAGGATACAATATAATTCATTCTGCCATTTTATTGATGGTTGCTTTCTACCATTACAGTGCTACAGCAAACATTTTTGTAAGTAGTTTTGTTGACCAGATTCCTGGAAGGAATCCTAGCAGAGTCAGAGGGTATGTGAATATTTTTTTACATAGTTGAGATTATAAAATAGCTGTGATCTTGGATGATTTAAGATTATAACATAAGTTATTCTCATGTTAAATATATTTATAACTTTTTATAACTTAAATGTGTAGTACTCTATTTTTCTTTTTTTAAAAGATGTTTTTTAGTTGTGGATGCACACAATACCTTTATTTATTTTTATTTTTATGTGGTGCTGGGGATCGAACCCAGTGCCTCACACATGCTAGGCAAGTGTTCTACCACTGAGCCACAACCCCAGCCCCTCTATTTTTCTTAATACCTTTCAAAGAATATAGTTTCACAAATATTGGTATAAATTTCAGTTCATTTCTGTAAGGTACGTAACCTGAAGTGGACTGTCAGAAGGTGTGATAAATATTACCAAATAGCTTTCCAGAATACTGTTACTACTTTTCACTCCTCTAGCAGTGTATTGGTTTGTGAACCCCTGAATAGTATTAACTGTCACTGTTTAATTTCCATTATCTTGGTGGGTGAAAAATGGTGATTAATTCTGGTTTTAGCTTGATTTCTGACAATTGATGGAGTTTGAACATTTTCCAGACTCCTCTCCTGTATCTTCTTATAACTGTATTCCTCTTATAGTTAATCTGTTATCAAGTCCTACAGATTCTACTTTTTAAATATATTATCTTTTTCCTTCTCACTGCTGTTCCTTTACTGAATCTCTTAACATATCCAAGCAACCATTCTGACTAATCTGCGTTTCACCTAGACCCCCTCCTGTGTGAGTGCCACACTGTTGCCTGGGTGATCTGTCTGAAAGGGTTTATGACATCACTCCTCTGTTTAAAACCCCATAGGAGGCCCTTAGCATTTGTATATCAAATCAGGCCTTTGGGATCTGATCTCCATTTTGCCATCTTTTCTTATTTTGACTCCTCCTATTTTATGCTCTGTCAGATTTTTAAAAATTTATTTATGAATCTCTGAATGGGTTCGGTATCTGTTTCATTTAACCATTCTGTCTCCAACTGATAGAGTTGACCAACTAGTCCCTTCTTTATACTACTATCTTTACATCTGCAGAGTTCTGTCATAGCAGGTATAATGTATATTTGCACTTATATATTTAATGAAGACTGTCCCTGTAGGACCATAAACTCTTTCTGGGCCTATTGATTCTTGTATGCCAGAGATAAGTACTGGACCTGGCACCTAAAAATATGCTTGGATGCATAAATTCCTAGTAATGTCTTTTTACTATTTATCTCTTAGGCCTTAATATTTCCCTGATTTTATTGATTGGCATACATTCTCTATATAATAAGGATATTAATTTATTTCTTCCAGGAATCTTCTCATGTTTTTTTTAATCTTTTCATTTAATAAGTTTTTCATTTTTATGTAATCAGATAAGGCCATATTTTTGTCATCCACTTTCACTAATTTTTTTTCTGTTAATTTTTGAAGCCTTTTTATTTTCTATGTTTATACACAGAAAGAACATACAGAGGTATCCAAAGGGAAAAAAAAAATCCCCTGAAACAAAAAGTTCTATAATCCTAACACTCAGAAATTATCACCATTAAAGGTATCTGACACTAGGCATTGAATAAATAATTGCTGAATGAATGAGTTAAAAATTTGGTGCAGTCTTTTTTGTTTATATGGATTTCTTAAAATGCTACTAGTGTAATTTAATTGTTTGCTTTTTTTTCCTTTTACTATGTTGTGAATGTTTTTTCATGACAGTACTCTTCTAATTTTCTTTTCAGCCACATTGAAATTGCATTGAGCCAAGCTTGCCACCAAGAGCCCAAGAGTCACCATGATGCTGAGCACTGAAGGCAGGGAGGGGTTCGTGGTGAAGGTCAGGGGCCTACCCTGGTCCTGCTCAGCTGATGAAGTGATGCGCTTCTTCTCTGATTGTAAAATCCAAAATGGCACATCAGGTATTCGTTTCATCTACACCAGAGAAGGCAGACCAAGTGGTGAAGCATTTGTTGAACTTGAATCTGAAGATGAAGTGAAATTGGCTTTGAAGAAGGACAGAGAAACCATGGGACATAGATATGTTGAAGTATTCAAGTCCAACAGTGTTGAAATGGATTGGGTGTTGAAGCATACAGGTCCGAATAGTCCTGATACTGCCAACGATGGCTTCGTCCGGCTTAGAGGACTCCCATTTGGCTGTAGCAAGGAAGAGATTGTTCAGTTCTTTTCAGGGTTGGAAATTGTGCCAAATGGGATGACACTGCCGGTGGACTTTCAGGGGCGGAGCACAGGGGAGGCTTTTGTGCAGTTTGCTTCACAGGAGATAGCTGAAAAGGCCTTAAAGAAACACAAGGAAAGGATAGGGCACAGGTACATTGAAATCTTCAAGAGTAGCAGAGCTGAAGTCCGAACCCATTATGACCCCCCTCGAAAGCTCATGGCTATGCAGCGACCAGGTCCTTATGATAGGCCAGGAGCTGGCAGAGGGTATAATAGCATTGGCAGAGGAGCTGGTTTTGAGAGGATGAGGCGGGGGGCATATGGTGGAGGGTATGGAGGCTATGATGACTATGGTGGCTATAACGACGGGTATGGCTTTGGGTCTGATAGATTTGGAAGAGACCTCAATTATTGTTTCTCAGGAATGTCAGATCACAGATATGGAGATGGTGGGTCCAGTTTCCAGAGCACCACAGGGCATTGTGTACACATGAGGGGGTTACCTTACAGAGCCACTGAGAATGATATTTACAATTTTTTCTCCCCTCTTAACCCCATGAGAGTACACATTGAAATTGGACCAGATGGCAGAGTTACTGGTGAGGCAGATGTTGAATTTGCTACTCATGAAGATGCCGTGGCAGCAATGGCAAAAGATAAAGCTAATATGCAACACAGATATGTGGAGCTCTTTTTGAACTCTACTGCAGGAACAAGTGGAGGGGCTTATGATCACAGCTATGTAGAACTCTTTTTGAATTCTACAGCAGGGGCAAGTGGTGGTGCTTATGGTAGCCAAATGATGGGAGGGATGGGCTTATCCAACCAGTCTAGTTATGGGGGTCCTGCTAGCC